GTCTGAGAAATGAGCGCCGAAATTCCATACTAGTGACGCGTCACTGCAAAGATCTGCGCAGTGTTTCTGATTGGTCGTGTCGCGTGTGAAATCTGCTTCATGCAATCGAACTTGGGAGTGGGGGTGAGATGAGATAAAACAAAACAAAACAAAACTTCATCAGCTTTAGTAAATTATATTTAGAACCCACAGAAACCCATATTTGATACTGTATTGCGTCATGGTGTCAATTAAGTTATAGCTACATGTTGGAAATTATAGCTAAGTGACTCATCAGGTCGGAGCATAACTACTCTGTTTGTGTAGTATAGATATGGCACCACCACTGGCACTCTGGACACCAATGCTTGGTGAGAAAAAGTTAAAGGTGGTAATAAGTGAAAAATATAAAATGTTTGTCGAGGAAAAGGAGAAATACTTCGTGACTACCTACACATCTTCGTGGTTCTCAAATCACTGAGCTACACGTACTGAACCCGTTGAGAAAGCCTATATACGTACTGAGAGCATTCATATATACCGTGAGGAAAAATTCTCCTGCGCCTGTGTATATATAATATTTTATAAGCACTGTCAGTGATCGGTCTAACGAAACCAGAAAATACAACATTGTAAAACGCCTAGAACAGTTAATTGTATAACATTAGTAGCCTGTATTCACAGGTCAATACAATTTTTATCCTTCATTCTAACTTCACCTTTAACTGCCATTGAGAGTCTTTTCTGGAGCGTTTTCACTCACGGGGCCGGCAGCTATGTAAATTTTTTGGAGCTAAATAAAGTCTTTACATAAGAAAACGTTTCAACTCCCACAGGACTTGTTTGGAACACAAACATGGCCACCGTTTAACATATGGTGGACGTGACGTCATGTGAAAACGCTCTGTACGGAGGGAGTTGTGGTGTGTATAAAGTCTATGCCTTATGTTCACTGCGACAGCGATAATCAGGAGTGTCCCGAATGTCAAACTCATAGGTACTCAGTCTCCACTCGGCTTCATCCGGGTCCGATGCATCATCCCCTAATGTGCGTTCCACGTATGTGGCGTGACCCTTGGCATCTACTAACACCACTGTATTTGTTCTAGAAATACAACATAACAAGTATCCAGTAAATATTTAACCTGATGCACTGACTGCGTTTTAAAAAAGCAAAGCTACATTGATAGGCCTGTAATAGCTGGTCACGTGATCAACTTTCAGTGAACAAATTTTCGTACCAGCTATAAGAGCATCTAAAACTTAAACAGGTAGGCTGTAAATTTAAAGCCGTATATTTCAGAAGTAGCGATTGCAACGGCCGCCGAATTGTTTTCATTTGAACAGAAAGTTGATCACGTGATCAACTATTGTAAGGGCCTATATTCGCCACTTTCACGCGTCTGTCATCTTGTTAAGACGGGAATTTTGCATAAGCAGTGGTTTCGCTTAATATTAGGACGACTGTGATACTCAAGAGAAATTAAAAACAATACTTTGGATGGTAGATAGGGCTCGAAACTCGGTGGTGTCTGTAGGAGCGAAGGATTCGCGCATTGAATTCCCAGGTGTGACCTCAAATCCTTGTAACGACTTCTTTTCTTTCCGTGTAGCGTTGTAAAACGAAGCACTGATTGAGAAAGAGTGGGGAGAGACGGATAGGAGGGGGACGGAGAGAGAGGGGCGGGGTAAATTTGCCTCAACCATTTGTGTGTTTGTCGTCGATTGTCTAGTCCGATCCTTTATCTTTTCCTCAGTTGAACAGGTCGTTGATAAAAAAAATTAAGGGTCTTTTGTGTTTGATTTCCCTATACACTATAAATTAGAAAGATCTGTTTCATAGTCCTGCAAGCCAAAGTCTGATTCAGCTTCTCTTAGAGCCAGGTGAAAACAATTTAAGCCAAAACAGCCCAATCAAAAGCCTACTTCAGCCCGTGCGTCCAAATCAGCCCCTGGTAATTGAACAGTGTTGGCCCTAATTAGAGCTCAAAAATGTTTACTTACAGAAACGGCCCCATTTTTAGGGCGTAAACACACCTTTTTTGATTTACAGTGTAATGAAAAAATAAGCAATTTTCAACTCATACCTAGTGCCACATCGCTTCTCTTTATAGTTGACAAAGATTGCTCGGCAAGCATCTAGAAAATTCATATCGCTCCCTTCGTCTTGAGGGCTGATGAAGCTGTATGAATCCTCACAACCGAAAAATCTGCGATAATAAACTCAAAATCACCTTTTCCAACTATTTATTAACGCCGTTTGCAAGCCAATGAAGCAGTTGCGAAAAGAAGCCTGAAAAGCTGAAACGGTTATGGGCTTCGGTGGGTGTTCTAACCCGAAGACCTCTACATATTGTGCTCGACCACAGCGGTTAGCAATGCGATTAACTGGTGCTAACTGATAAATGAGTTATGAAGTCACTACTGACGTTGATGCTAGGTTTTTGCGTTAAGAGGGATTCCGTCAAAGAAATAAAAAGGGCATCAGTATAGGTAAACTTGAGTAAATCATACATAAACTGAGAATGTAAAATACAAGCTAATTTCTTTTTACGAGTAATTTACAAACAACTTTACAGAGTCTACGTTTTTAATAGCATAAACTGGGTACGTAGTATCTCAGTTGAAATAACTACCCTGGGTCTGAGACCGAGGAAAGAGGTTTTTCTGTCTCATGCGGCTGGAGCTTAGGTGTGTGCCCCAGACAGATAAAGACTGGCACCAAGAGTATTACATAACCGATCTAGTTTGGATAAAGAATTGAAGTTCACGTTCACATCGCGTCATCAAATGCAAATAACTCATGTACTAGTAATTCCGTGGAATCCTCTGTAATTCATCTTCTAATCCAAGTTTGAAGTGCCAAATTTTAATTCAACTTACCTATCTCGCAAATTTAGCATCCCAATCAGCTTATCAACAAGCTCCTGTTTGGTGCAGGCTTCATTTAAAATGTTTGCAAATCTTTCCTTTCCATAAACCGTCTTCGGCCATGGGCAATCCAGGACATTATTTGACAAGGCATGAATTCCAGGTGTCAACACCCTAATATTTTCTTTATCGGCGTTGCAAAAGCATCCAAACTTAGAGCCTCCAGTCAAGGATAACTTGCCCACTAAGAGATTGAAGCCGTTATACTTGTCAGCTGTTCTGCTGACTTTTTCAAGGTACTTTCTTACGTTACCATCTCCTTCTAAGAAGTCTGGTACCAAATGCCCTTTTCCAACTGCATATGGATTTAGAAAGGTTGGCGATTGTCTGTAGTTTGTGATTGCTCCAAATGTCCCATCCTTAGTTATACCTAGCCAAGTTCCGCCCTCTCTACCTGGCTTCAGATCCATCCCTGTAAACGGAAAACTAACTTTCAGCAGTCGTGTGAGATTGGGTATACATGACCCGTAAGCATTTTTAGCAAGCTTGTTCTTGTACGTATAGCGTATTAACAGTGATTAACCGCGGTTGAACTAGGCTTTAAGTCAAAAGCCTCAGGTTCATACATGCCGGTTTTACCACGTCATTTGGGTGTAGAGTCCAGGTTGTTGCTCAAGAACCTTAGCCATTAAGCGATCTGGGTTTGAGAGAGTTGACAGGTCGAAAACACTATTGAGCAGCCTCACTGTTAGCAATGAAAATTGTTCATTACATAACTTGATTAGCAAGCGAGAATGGGGCATATGATACACTGGGGGGTGGGGGGGGGTACTTCCTTATAAGAGACTGATGGGGATGAACCGCTGGATGGGGTCGCATTTTTAAGACTGGATTGACTACAACGGAGTCGCATTTACAGTAGAGAGTGACTAAGCTGTGATCGCGAAAATTACATAATTGCCCAAAAGTGACTAATATGGGGTCTATAATTGACCACAGAATAGACTATAATGGGGTAGGGGCTCTGAGAGGCCAGCGGCACATACCCAGCAAAAATTTACCCAAGTACCACCTGGAAAATAATATGTTTTAGTTTAAAATTGAAGGCAAAGGTTGCAGATTTGTTTGCGCAATATTTCGACAAGAAAACCAGTCTTCATCAGCTTTCATCAGGGGGCTAGAAAAGCTAAGAGAGAATAGAATATATAGAGGATATTACACGGTGGCGCGAAGATATGAATTTTATTTTCGAGTGGCAAAACAATATTTTACGAACGAGCGCAGCGAGTGGGTAAAATATTGTTTTTGCCACGAGAAAATAAAATTCATATCTTCAAGCCGCCGTGTAATGTTCTTTTTATTATATAGACAAAAAGACATCGATAAAATAATGGAGGGAAATGACCGAAATTACATCATCGATAAACTCACGTGTGAGATTATGGAAAATATACCACTCGGGTCCCGGATGTAGTTTTTACGAATTTTACGAGTGGTATATTTTCCAGTAAAACACTCGTGTCTATATAATAAAAACTGTTACAGCATTTAAAGTACTACAGATATACAAATAAAGTGTGGTTGGTGGAGAAATACAAACTTTTATTAAAAATAAAATTTAGTAAAATTCATGAAAATTGCATCCGGGACCCAAGTGGTTTATTTTCCACAATATCACACGTGAGTTTATCGATGACGTAGTTTCGGTAATTTCCGTCTATTATTTTATCGATGTCTTTTTGTCTATATAATAAAAAGAACATTACACGGCGGCTTGAAGATATAAATTTTATTTTCTCGGGGCAAAAACAATATTTAAATCACACGTTGCGCTCGTTCGTAAAATATTGTTTTGCCACTCGAAAATAAAATTCATATCTTCGCGCCACCGTGTAATATCCTCTATGTATAAAGAGGTTATCATAAAAATATAAATACGATACTTGTAAGATAACAGAGAGGAGAAGTGGGACGTCACGTCACCATGGTAGCACTATTTCTGGATGAAAACAAAACCCACGACGACGACGACAAGGAGAACGGCAAAAAAAGTAATCGGTTTTTGTTAACAAAACAACAAATTTGCTCGTGCATCACGCTATTTCGTACATTTCTTTGCCGTCCTTGCACCTCTGCAACATGAAACTTCCTAATTTCACACTCTCACTTTATGGAGTTGGTGAACACAACACAGACGTTGTCTTTTTCTATTTTTAAACTTAGCTACGGTCTTTCGGATTCAACCTGAGAAAATTTCGCCAATATTTGCCAAATTAAATGAAATTGAATAAGATAGATGAAGTTTGAAGCAGTGCAAATCCACTTTTTAAGTGACGTTTTCGGTTTGTTGTCATCCAAAATTTTGCTACCATGGCAATGTGACGTAACGACTTCTCCTCCCTATTCAAGCGGACAGTCTTGGATTCTGGATTTCACGCCGTGGAATCCGGATTCCAGGTACTGGATTCGCGATTCCTTGTCTGTGGAACTAAGCTGGATTACGGATTCTAAGACCCAGGATTCCGAATTTCCCAAGCAAATAGTTCCGGGGACTCCGGAATACGGATTACCTCATTTTGCCTTACATGGGGCGATTTGAACAATTTTACCTGCAATTATGTTGGGATTTTTTTCCCAAAACGTAGCCCTTGCCGTCGGTCTGTCGTAATATTCATCCCTGTTGGATGCCACAATAAGGCGGTATCCATCAGCACTTGGTTTGTCACAGTAATACAGGAATAAGATGCACATGTTGTGTCTCAATTTTCTTTTCTGCTGCATTCAAAATAAACGTACACTCAATTATTTGTATGCTTGACTTGTCGGAAAAAATGTGCATGCGACAATCCCGAAAGGTAAAATAAGATATGACCAATACACTGTTCCTGACACTGTAGCTGCCGAAATTACTTTTGCTGCTTTTCTTTAGCAATCGCAAACATAAGTTTATGGTCTCTCGTGCCATTCTTGCAAATTTCTTTGAAGAACAGTGAACTCAAAACCGCACCCACAATACCTTTCGGGATTGTCGCGTGCACTTTTTCCAATAACCTTTCTTGAAATAGCTGCTTTTTTTTGTAATGTATGCACGGAGGGAAGAATAGGGAGCTTACGATTTGACAAAAGGGACGCGAATAAAAACGTCTCTCAATAACAGAATTCACATCCATTGAAACTTTTTCGCAAATATTCCAAGTCACCCAGTTACTCACAAGAGGGGAAAGGTGGTTGGAGCTGAAGAGAGGCGATCGCATCAGATTTCAAACAGAGATCAGAGCTGCAATATTTATCGTCTTCTCAAGCATGTTAAAGCATGGCCTGGGGCACAAAATCTTATAATGATCATAACTTCGTGGAAATTTATGAGAATTAGAACCTTCCAAAATTTGGCAACTTCAAAAAAATCGGTAACCTTAATTTTCCTGTAACGTAAGAAATCAGATATCTGTGGCCCTTAACACTTAAGGTCGAGTCCAGGAAAGAAAAGAAAACTAACTCCTACCCCATTTTGAATTTCTTTTTGAATATCATTATGACTCCACGTTTACGTGACTACATCACTTCAACCCTGATTAATTCAACGCTTCGAAAGAAAGTTTCTCGAAAGTTTTTGTAACTTTTAGAATTAAAATGCATGGCTGTAGAAGAAAAACAGCTTTATCTTCGCGGGGGTTCGAGACCAAAACTTGAGCCATGCCTTAACATGCTTGAGCTGCTGTGGTCCCGTTCTCAAGTAGACTAAAAATCTGGTCATTTTACTCCGTAGTTGTGTGGAGACGGCAAAGAAATTTTTTAAAAAAACGTGATACATGTGCTCTGGTGTTCTCTCGTTATAGGTACACCAATCAAGTAACGCTGAAAATCTAACATTCGGTGTGGAAAAATTAATTTGAATTACATATGAAAACCGAAACAGGTTCTTACAAAAATGGTAATCAGTACAAATTTAGGTTACTAGGTTCTTATATTATTTTCTGGAAAAAAAATTGTAGTTGAGAGTTTTTAGAGGTATTCAGCTTTTAATTATATTATATGCAGTTGCAGTCGTAAGGCACCAGTGTCTTCAAAGGAGAAACTTGACTTATCTTGTTTGCCCAAGTATACAGATTTTTTTTGAATAGATTTTAGAAAATAAGAACCTGGGAAATTTTAGCCTAACTGGTTCTTAAAAACTAGGTGCTTACTCGGCGAGTTTTCTGTATTCTGATTTGACTGCAAAAGAAATATGCGAAGTTAACCCCTTACTTGAGGCAATTGTGATTTTCGACCACACTGATTATTTAACTTCTGATTATTTCTTCTCAAAACTTGCTAAATTGGGGCTCGTAAGTCAGCAAACAGTAAGAAAACAACCCAGAGGCTGTGTTTATGCTGCACAACGTAGTCAACGTGCTTTAATGTTAGCGGATAAATTAATGTTGTAGTAACCAACCGTTGCCGAATATGTTGTGATTGAAGATTCAGCCAAATGGAACCTGTTAAGCAAAGCAGAAACAGTATCTTTGTGATGGTGTACGTCAGTTACTAAGTCGCACAGCGAAGTTGTGTCCCTAGATGAATGCTGAAAAACGTTCGCTCAAAACGAAAACCTGTCTAGAGCAAAAAAGAATTCTTGGGGAAACAGCTAGTCGTATTGACACGTTAACTTCACCCTAGGTTTCGTAATTCTTAGTTACCTTCTACCAAGAAATTTCAAAGACTTACCTTAGGCAGTTTGACTGTGAAATGCCAAAACCAAAATTCTTTGACGGAAACGCACGATTTGGTAAGAGTCACTCGTTGTCGAATATTTATGATCCGATCACGATTTTCGTGGCCGAGAAATCTTGGCCGAGAGAGTAACACCTCAAAAATAACACCTTGACGATGTCAACGTCGAGTGGTTTCAAGTCACGTTTTTTCACGTTTCTTGAATATAATTAAGGCAAACAAATGTGGTTGACCTTTCACTGAAAAATAACCTTCTATTCAATTTAATTGTGTAGCCAATCGCCCTTTGAAATTAAAGGCAAGTGATTGCTGTTAATTCCGAGCCAAAAGCCAAAAGTATGACGAGCAACCTATAGCTATTTACAATAAACGGCGAACGTGAAGGTGTATCACGCACCAATTCGTTTTCCCTTTACTAGTTTACTGTTTCGTAAGGTAATCCGAGACAGTCGTGGATTCAGGATTATTCCTGACTTTTTGTCACTGAAACTTAATTGGATTCAGCAAGCTAGTAGTGGGGTGTGCACGCGGCCAAGAGCAAACTACGCGAAAAAATGTAGTCCTAACTTTTAACCTTGTTGATGAAATGCATAAGACTGTAGTTCTCAGTTTTGAAAATGTCGTGATGCAATGTTTGCGTGCGATCACTCAAATGGAACCTGCTACGGGCAAATGTCTTTGTGAGGATGTTTATTATGTCGCAAGGCGAAATTATTTACTACAGTCAGTGATTCTGAAAATGAACCGTACGACGTGAAAGCAGTTGGGGGTACCAAATTTCCGAGCTTAGTTGCAATCAACCTGTGAAAAAGTATATAACTTTGACTCGGTGCACTGACGGACTGAGACGACTAGAACGATATGCATGCATGAGCAGTTATTTCGACCAACTCCTGCAGTTGTAATGTTTTATTTTCCTTTTTGTGGGTAACACTGAAGAGTATAGATCTGATACCAGCAGGTCAAGCTATTTCAGACACTGTATCAACACGGGGAATTTCTTGTTTTACTTTGCTTTGCTTTACTTGATGATAATAAGTGAAATTATACTGTATTATATTGGACGATTATCACTGAACTGAACCACATGTTTTTATTTGTGTTGCGCACGGGGAATGCATAAGAATTGCTTTCAAAATCCTTGATGACAGACGTTCGTCCAAAGAAGGGTTCTATTCGACAAGCTCAGTCGAATATAACAGCAGAGTCGATCCAAATACAAAAGTGCCGTTCCTAATTGATTCATACCTCGAACTTTACATGTGCCGATCGCGAACCTAACTGAGTTAGGTTCGGCACATGTAAAGTTCGACGTTTGAACCGGGCCTAATCGTCATCATCCTCGGAGACCCAGGGGCGAGTTAGTCGGGTCGATAAAATGTTCCTGGTGAAAGTTTACTGTAAGATCGAGACGAGCTCGTCTCGAACTTACAATAAACTTTCACCACGAACATTTTATCGACTCGACTAACTGCCCTTGGGTCTCCGAGGATGAACAGTCATGAGCAAAACAATCGATTAAGGTATCATCCACCTTTCAGGACCGTCCTCGCGCGGATTTGCGCCGCGATTGCGGCCCATGGTTTAAATAAATACGGCCTTACAAACCAAAGCGTACTTCTGAAAGCTTATGGTTTCTTTTTGCGGCTAAGTCTTTAAAAAAATCTTAAACCTTAACTCATTACAGAAACGAGGTGCTTTTTGCGAAAGTAGCTGTACATTTTTTTTGTAAATGTATGTACGGAGGGAAGAAGAGGGAGCTTACGATTTGACAAAAGGGAGGAGAATAAAAACGTCTCTCAATAACAGGATTCGCATCCTTTGAAACTTTTTCGCAAATATTCCAAGTCACCCAGTTACTTACAAGAGGGGAAAGGTGGTTGGAGCTGAAGAGAGGCGACCGCATCCGATTTCAAACAGAGATCAGAGCTGCAATATTTATCGTCTTCTCAAGCATGTTAAAGCATGGCCTGGGGCTTAAAATCTTATAATGATCATAACTTTGTGAAAATTTATCAGAACCTTCCAAAATTTGACAACCTCAAAAAAAAAAAAGGTAACCTTAATTTTCCTGTAACTTAAGAAATCAGATATCTATGACCCTTAACACGTATGGTCGAACCAGGAAAGAAAAGAAAACTAAAAATGGGGTGGCGAGCTGCCACACAGTATTTATTAAATACAGTATTTTTGTTATTGTATCATCATTTCTTGCTTGAATCTGGCCGGAATGGTTGACTCTTTTTTATATATAATTAGTAGTTAAGCAAAATAGGTCACGTGATACTTTTCACCTGTTAATATTTTTTTAAGTTTCTCGAAAGTTTTTGCAACTTTTAGAATTAAAATGCATGGCCGTAGAAGAAAAACAGCTTTATCTTCGAGGGGAGTCGAGACCAAAACTTGAATCATGCGTTTATAACATGACTAAAAATCTGGTCATTTTACTCCGTATTTGTGTGGAGAAGGCAAAGAAATTTAAAAAAAAAAAACGTGACACATGTCTGGTGTTCTCTTGTTATAGGTACACCAATCCGTGAAGTAACGCTGAAAATCTAACATTCGGTGTGGAAAAATTTATTTAAATTACATATAAAACCCGCGACTAAGAACCTGCATTTTCCCGAGATAGACCGAAACAGGTTCTTACAAACATGGTAACAAGTCCAGATTTAGGTTGTTTTTTTTAAAAAATACATTGTAGTTAAGAGTGTTTAGTGGTATTCAGCTTTAATTCTTGGCTATATAAAATCTGCATACCGTTACATATATGCAGTTGGATTGGTAAAGCACCAATGTCTTCAAAGGAGAAACTTGACTTATCTTGTTTGCCCAAGTATACAGAATTTTTTTTATCCTCTCTTGATTTTGGAAAATAAGAACCTGACAAATTTAGCTTAACTGGTTCTTAAAAACCGGGTTCTTACTCGGCGGGTTTTCTGTATTCTGATTTGACTGAAAACTGAAATATGCGAAGTTAGCCACTTACTTGAGGCAATTGTGATTTTCGACTGCACTGATTATTTAACTTCTGATTATTTCTTCTCAAAACTTGCTAAAATGGGGATCGTAAGTCAGCAAACAGTTAGAAAACAACCCAGAGACTGTGTTTATGCTGCACAAAGTAGTCAACGTACTTTAATGTTAGCGGATAAATGTTGTAGTAATCAACTTTGCCGAATATGTTGTGATTGAAGACGTATACGATCAATTCGGCCAAATGGAACCTGTTAAGCAGAGCATAAACAGTATCTTTGTGATGATATACGTCAGTTTCAAAGTCGCACAGGGAAGTTGTGGTTGTGTCCCTAGATGAATGCTGAAAAACGTTCGCTCAAAACGTAAGCCTGTTCAGAGCAAAAAAGAGTCTTGGGCAAACAGCTAGTCGTATTGACACGTAAATTTCACCCTAGATTTCGTAATTCTTAGTTACTTTCTACCAAGAAATTTCAAAGACTTACCTTTGGCAGTTAGCTGCAGTTTGACTGTGAAATGCCAAAACCAAAATTCTTTGACGGAAACGCACGATTTGGCAAGAGTCACTCCTTGTCGAATATTTATGATCCGATCACGATTTTCGTGGCCGAGAAATCTTGGCCGAGAGAGTAACACCTCAAAAATAACACCTTGAAAAAGAATCTACTGACGATGTCAACGTCTGAAACGTCGAGTGGTTTCAAGTCACGTTTTTTACGTTTCTTGAATATAATTAAGGCAAACAAATGTGGTTGACCTTATACTGAAAAATAACCTTCTATTCAATTTAATTGTGTAGCCAATCGCCCTTTGAAATTAAAGGCAAGTGATTGCTGTTAATTCCGAGCCAAAAGCCAAAAGTATGACGAGCAACCTATAGCTATTTACAATAAACGGCGAACGTGAAGGTGTATCACGCACCAATTCGTTTTCCCTTTACTAGTTTACTGTTTCGTAAGGTAATCCGAGACAGTCGTGGATTCAGGATTATTCCTGACTTTTTGTCACTGAAACTTAATTGGATTCAGCAAGCTAGTAGTGGGGTGTGCACGCGGCCAAGAGCAAACTACGCGAAAAAATGTAGTCCTAACTTTTAACCTTGTTGATGAAATGCATAAGACTGTAGTTCTCAGTTTTGAAAATGTCGTGATGCAATGTTTGCGTGCGATCACTCAAATGGAACCTGCTACGGGCAAATGTCTTTGTGAGGATGTTTATTATGTCGCAAGGCGAAATTATTTACTACAGTCAGTGATTCTGAAAATGAACCGTACGACGTGAAAGCAGTTGGGGGTACCAAATTTCCGAGCTTAGTTGCAATCAACCTGTGAAAAAGTATATAACTTTGACTCGGTGCACTGACGGACTGAGACGACTAGAACGATATGCATGCATGAGCAGTTATTTCGACCAACTCCTGCAGTTGTAATGTTTTATTTTCCTTTTTGTGGGTAACACTGAAGAGTATAGATCTGATACCAGCAGGTCAAGCTATTTCAGACACTGTATCAACACGGGGAATTTCTTGTTTTACTTTGCTTTGCTTTACTTGATGATAATAAGTGAAATTATACTGTATTATATTGGACGATTATCACTGAACTGAACCACATGTTTTTATTTGTGTTGCGCACGGGGAATGCATAAGAATTGCTTTCAAAATCCTTGATGACAGACGTTCGTCCAAAGAAGGGTTCTATTCGACAAGCTCAGTCGAATATAACAGCAGAGTCGATCCAAATACAAAAGTGCCGTTCCTAATTGATTCATACCTCGAACTTTACATGTGCCGATCGCGAACCTAACTGAGTTAGGTTCGGCACATGTAAAGTTCGACGTTTGAACCGGGCCTAATCGTCATCATCCTCGGAGACCCAGGGGCGAGTTAGTCGGGTCGATAAAATGTTCCTGGTGAAAGTTTACTGTAAGATCGAGACGAGCTCGTCTCGAACTTACAATAAACTTTCACCACGAACATTTTATCGACTCGACTAACTGCCCTTGGGTCTCCGAGGATGAACAGTCATGAGCAAAACAATCGATTAAGGTATCATCCACCTTTCAGGACCGTCCTCGCGCGGATTTGCGCCGCGATTGCGGCCCATGGTTTAAATAAATACGGCCTTACAAACCAAAGCGTACTTCTGAAAGCTTATGGTTTCTTTTTGCGGCTAAGTCTTTAAAAAAATCTTAAACCTTAACTCATTACAGAAACGAGGTGCTTTTTGCGAAAGTAGCTGTACATTTTTTTTGTAAATGTATGTACGGAGGGAAGAAGAGGGAGCTTACGATTTGACAAAAGGGAGGAGAATAAAAACGTCTCTCAATAACAGGATTCGCATCCTTTGAAACTTTTTCGCAAATATTCCAAGTCACCCAGTTACTTACAAGAGGGGAAAGGTGGTTGGAGCTGAAGAGAGGCGACCGCATCCGATTTCAAACAGAGATCAGAGCTGCAATATTTATCGTCTTCTCAAGCATGTTAAAGCATGGCCTGGGGCTTAAAATCTTATAATGATCATAACTTTGTGAAAATTTATCAGAACCTTCCAAAATTTGACAACCTCAAAAAAAAAAAAGGTAACCTTAATTTTCCTGTAACTTAAGAAATCAGATATCTATGACCCTTAACACGTATGGTCGAACCAGGAAAGAAAAGAAAACTAAAAATGGGGTGGCGAGCTGCCACACAGTATTTATTAAATACAGTATTTTTGTTATTGTATCATCATTTCTTGCTTGAATCTGGCCGGAATGGTTGACTCTTTTTTATATATAATTAGTAGTTAAGCAAAATAGGTCACGTGATACTTTTCACCTGTTAATATTTTTTTAAGTTTCTCGAAAGTTTTTGCAACTTTTAGAATTAAAATGCATGGCCGTAGAAGAAAAACAGCTTTATCTTCGAGGGGAGTCGAGACCAAAACTTGAATCATGCGTTTATAACATGACTAAAAATCTGGTCATTTTACTCCGTATTTGTGTGGAGAAGGCAAAGAAATTTAAAAAAAAAAAACGTGACACATGTCTGGTGTTCTCTTGTTATAGGTACACCAATCCGTGAAGTAACGCTGAAAATCTAACATTCGGTGTGGAAAAATTTATTTAAATTACATATAAAACCCGCGACTAAGAACCTGCATTTTCCCGAGATAGACCGAAACAGGTTCTTACAAACATGGTAACAAGTCCAGATTTAGGTTGTTTTTTTTAAAAAATACATTGTAGTTAAGAGTGTTTAGTGGTATTCAGCTTTAATTCTTGGCTATATAAAATCTGCATACCGTTACATATATGCAGTTGGATTGGTAAAGCACCAATGTCTTCAAAGGAGAAACTTGACTTATCTTGTTTGCCCAAGTATACAGAATTTTTTTTATCCTCTCTTGATTTTGGAAAATAAGAACCTGACAAATTTAGCTTAACTGGTTCTTAAAAACCGGGTTCTTACTCGGCGGGTTTTCTGTATTCTGATTTGACTGAAAACTGAAATATGCGAAGTTAGCCACTTACTTGAGGCAATTGTGATTTTCGACTGCACTGATTATTTAACTTCTGATTATTTCTTCTCAAAACTTGCTAAAATGGGGATCGTAAGTCAGCAAACAGTTAGAAAACAACCCAGAGACTGTGTTTATGCTGCACAAAGTAGTCAACGTACTTTAATGTTAGCGGATAAATGTTGTAGTAATCAACTTTGCCGAATATGTTGTGATTGAAGACGTATACGATCAATTCGGCCAAATGGAACCTGTTAAGCAGAGCATAAACAGTATCTTTGTGATGATATACGTCAGTTTCAAAGTCGCACAGGGAAGTTGTGGTTGTGTCCCTAGATGAATGCTGAAAAACGTTCGCTCAAAACGTAAGCCTGTTCAGAGCAAAAAAGAGTCTTGGGCAAACAGCTAGTCGTATTGACACGTAAATTTCACCCTAGATTTCGTAATTCTTAGTTACTTTCTACCAAGAAATTTCAAAGACTTACCTTTGGCAGTTAGCTGCAGTTTGACTGTGAAATGCCAAAACCAAAATTCTTTGACGGAAACGCACGATTTGGCAAGAGTCACTCCTTGTCGAATATTTATGATCCGATCACGATTTTCGTGGCCGAGAAATCTTGGCCGAGAGAGTAACACCTCAAAAATAACACCTTGAAAAAGAATCTACTGACGATGTCAACGTCTGAAACGTCGAGTGGTTTCAAGTCACGTTTTTTACGTTTCTTGAATATAATTAAGGCAAACAAATGTGGTTGACCTTATACTGAAAAATAACCTTCTATTCAATTTAATTGTGTAGCCAATCGCCCTTTGAAATTAAAGGCAAGTGATTGCTGTTAATTCCGAGCCAAAAGCCAAAAGTATGACGAGCAACCTATAGCTATTTACAATAAACGGCGAACGTGAAGGTGTATCACGCACCAATTCGTTTTCCCTTTACTAGTTTACTGTTTCGTAAGGTAATCCGAGACAGTCGTGGATTCAGGATTATTCCTGACTTTTTGTCACTGAAACTTAATTGGATTCAGCAAGCTAGTAGTGGGGTGTGCACGCGGCCAAGAGCAAACTACGCGAAAAAATGTAGTCCTAACTTTTAACCTTGTTGATGAAATGCATAAGACTGTAGTTCTCAGTTTTGAAAATGTCGTGATGCAATGTTTGCGTGCGATCACTCAAATGGAACCTGCTACGGGCAAATGTCTTTGTGAGGATGTTTATTATGTCGCAAGGCGAAATTATTTACTACAGTCAGTGATTCTGAAAATGAACCGTACGACGTGAAAGCAGTTGGGGGTACCAAATTTCCGAGCTTAGTTGCAATCAACCTGTGAAAAAGTATATAACTTTGACTCGGTGCACTGACGGACTGAGACGACTAGAACGATATGCATGCATGAGCAGTTATTTCGACCAACTCCTGCAGTTGTAATGTTTTATTTTCCTTTTTGTGGGTAACACTGAAGAGTATAGATCTGATACCAGCAGGTCAAGCTATTTCAGACACTGTATCAACACGGGGAATTTCTTGTTTTACTTTGCTTTGCTTTACTTGATGATAATAAGTGAAATTATACTGTATTATATTGGACGATTATCACTGAACTGAACCACATGTTTTTATTTGTGTTGCGCACGGGGAATGCATAAGAATTGCTTTCAAAATCCTTGATGACAGACGTTCGTCCAAAGAAGGGTTCTATTCGACAAGCTCAGTCGAATATAACAGCAGAGTCGATCCAAATACAAAAGTGCCGTTCCTAATTGATTCATACCTCGAACTTTACATGTGCCGATCGCGAACCTAACTGAGTTAGGTTCGGCACATGTAAAGTTCGACGTTTGAACCGGGCCTAATCGTCATCATCCTCGGAGACCCAGGGGCGAGTTAGTCGGGTCGATAAAATGTTCCTGGTGAAAGTTTACTGTAAGATCGAGACGAGCTCGTCTCGAACTTACAATAAACTTTCACCACGAACATTTTATCGACTCGACTAACTGCCCTTGGGTCTCCGAGGATGAACAGTCATGAGCAAAACAATCGATTAAGGTATCATCCACCTTTCAGGACCGTCCTCGCGCGGATTTGCGCCGCGATTGCGGCCCATGGTTTAAATAAATACGGCCTTACAAACCAAAGCGTACTTCTGAAAGCTTATGGTTTCTTTTTGCGGCTAAGTCTTTAAAAAAATCTTAAACCTTAACTCATTACAGAAACGAGGTGCTTTTTGCGAAAGTAGCTGTACATTTTTTTTGTAAATGTATGTACGGAGGGAAGAAGAGGGAGCTTACGATTTGACAAAAGGGAGGAGAATAAAAACGTCTCTCAATAACAGGATTCGCATCCTTTGAAACTTTTTCGCAAATATTCCAAGTCACCCAGTTACTTACAAGAGGGGAAAGGTGGTTGGAGCTGAAGAGAGGCGACCGCATCCGATTTCAAACAGAGATCAGAGCTGCAATATTTATCGTCTTCTCAAGCATGTTAAAGCATGGCCTGGGGCTTAAAATCTTATAATGATCATAACTTTGTGAAAATTTATCAGAACCTTCCAAAATTTGACAACCTCAAAAAAAAAAAAGGTAACCTTAATTTTCCTGTAACTTAAGAAATCAGATATCTATGACCCTTAACACGTATGGTCGAACCAGGAAAGAAAAGAAAACTAAAAATGGGGTGGCGAGCTGCCACACAGTATTTATTAAATACAGTATTTTTGTTATTGTATCATCATTTCTTGCTTGAATCTGGCCGGAATGGTTGACTCTTTTTTATATATAATTAGTAGTTAAGCAAAATAGGTCACGTGATACTTTTCACCTGTTAATATTTTTTTAAGTTTCTCGAAAGTTTTTGCAACTTTTAGAATTAAAATGCATGGCCGTAGAAGAAAAACAGCTTTATCTTCGAGGGGAGTCGAGACCAAAACTTGAATCATGCGTTTATAACATGACTAAAAATCTGGTCATTTTACTCCGTATTTGTGTGGAGAAGGCAAAGAAATTTAAAAAAAAAAAACGTGACACATGTCTGGTGTTCTCTTGTTATAGGTACACCAATCCGTGAAGTAACGCTGAAAATCTAACATTCGGTGTGGAAAAATTTATTTAAATTACATATAAAACCCGCGACTAAGAACCTGCATTTTCCCGAGATAGACCGAAACAGGTTCTTACAAACATGGTAACAAGTCCAGATTTAGGTTGTTTTTTTTAAAAAATACATTGTAGTTAAGAGTGTTTAGTGGTATTCAGCTTTAATTCTTGGCTATATAAAATCTGCATACCGTTACATATATGCAGTTGGATTGGTAAAGCACCAATGTCTTCAAAGGAGAAACTTGACTTATCTTGTTTGCCCAAGTATACAGAATTTTTTTTATCCTCTCTTGATTTTGGAAAATAAGAACCTGACAAATTTAGCTTAACTGGTTCTTAAAAACCGGGTTCTTACTCGGCGGGTTTTCTGTATTCTGATTTGACTGAAAACTGAAATATGCGAAGTTAGCCACTTACTTGAGGCAATTGTGATTTTCGACTGCACTGATTATTTAACTTCTGATTATTTCTTCTCAAAACTTGCTAAAATGGGGATCGTAAGTCAGCAAACAGTTAGAAAACAACCCAGAGACTGTGTTTATGCTGCACAAAGTAGTCAACGTACTTTAATGTTAGCGGATAAATGTTGTAGTAATCAACTTTGCCGAATATGTTGTGATTGAAGACGTATACGATCAATTCGGCCAAATGGAACCTGTTAAGCAGAGCATAAACAGTATCTTTGTGATGATATACGTCAGTTTCAAAGTCGCACAGGGAAGTTGTGGTTGTGTCCCTAGATGAATGCTGAAAAACGTTCGCTCAAAACGTAAGCCTGTTCAGAGCAAAAAAGAGTCTTGGGCAAACAGCTAGTCGTATTGACACGTAAATTTCACCCTAGATTTCGTAATTCTTAGTTACTTTCTACCAAGAAATTTCAAAGACTTACCTTTGGCAGTTAGCTGCAGTTTGACTGTGAAATGCCAAAACCAAAATTCTTTGACGGAAACGCACGATTTGGCAAGAGTCACTCCTTGTCGAATATTTATGATCCGATCACGATTTTCGTGGCCGAGAAATCTTGGCCGAGAGAGTAACACCTCAAAAATAACACCTTGAAAAAGAATCTACTGACGATGTCAACGTCTGAAACGTCGAGTGGTTTCAAGTCACGTTTTTTACGTTTCTTGAATATAATTAAGGCAAACAAATGTGGTTGACCTTATACTGAAAAATAACCTTCTATGCAATTTAATTGTGTAGCCAATCGCCCTTTGAAATTAAAGGCAAGTGATTGCTGTTGATTCCGAGCCAAAAGCCAAAAGTATGACGAGCAACCTATAGCTATTTACAATAAACGGCGAACGTGAAGGTGTATCACGCACCAATTCGTTTTCCCTTTACTTAGTTTACTGTTTTGTAAGTTAATCCGAGACAGTCGTGGATTCAGGATTATTCCTGATTTCTTGTCAGATCTGATACTAGCAGGTCAAGCTATTTCAGATACTGTATCAACACGAGGAATGTCTTGTTTAACTTTGACTTGCTTTATTTGATGATAAGTGAAATAAAGCCGTTATATTGGACGATAATCACTGAACTGAACTACACGTTATGTTTGTGTTGTGCAGGGGGGTGCATAAGAATTGCTCTAAAAATACTACCGTTATATTGGACGATAATCACTTAACTGAACTACACGTTATGTTTGTGTTGTGCACGGGGGTGCATAAGAATTTCTCTAAAAGTCTATGACAGACGTTCCCCAAAAGAAGGGCTGATCAGAAAAAAAATTAGCCATGAGCAAAACAATCGATTAAGGTATCATCCACCTTTCAGGACCGTCCTCGCGCCAATTCGAGCCGCGATTGCAGTAGTTTAAATAAATACGGCCTTGAACGAAAGCGTACTTCTGAAAGCTTATGGTTTCACTTTGCGGCTAATTTCTTTAAAAAATCTTAAACCTTAACTCATTTCGGAAACGAGGTGCTTTTTGCGAAAGTAGATGTGTCTGTTAACATAGTCCAGACCGGCCAAGACAAACGGAAGAAAACGATTAAGATCGCATTCGCTTTTTGACACGTTTGACTACAAAATCGTATGTCTGAGATTTTTTGTCAAGTGGGTTTGCACTTTTGTCGTTACCAGACTACAAGTACGTTGGCCAAATTTCAGCCAAATTAGTACTCTGGGTAGCAGAGGTTTTTTCTCGCGTGCGAGCCGCGAGAAAAAACCGCGCATGAAAAGGCTCTGGCACCCACGGTACCAAATTAGTTCACGCGTTAAAGACATGGTTCCCTGCTAGCAAAGGTCTCTCCCCGGGGGAGAGGGGGGGATACATGGATTAATTTTTGCTGGGTATGTGCCGCTGGCCTGTCAGAGCCCCTATAGCTTTACCTGAGAGCGACTACGCGTGTGCCTACCTAAAAAGATGTTGGTGAAGATAAATTTGAAAACAAACAAACAAACAAACAAACAAATAAAACAAAAACAAAAACGGAACACAGAAACATAGCAGAGGAAAAAAAAGGAAATAAACGATGGCTGAAATTTTTTGGCATAATTCGCAATTTATACGAGCATAACTTTCATTCTAGTTTCTGAAAATGACTGCCAGGATAATTTGCACTTTTGGCTAGTTTTCCAGCTCAAAATTTTAAGTTAATGATTGATGCAACCAGTTTTATTTTTTTGGCCGTACATCATGAATGTTATAAGCAAATTTAAGTAAGAAAATCAATTTTTTTTCAGTTTTGCGTGTGGAAGGATTATCGTAGGCTCGATTATCAGCCGCTGTTCGGGAAAATGAGCCCGCCCTCATCCCCCGGGGAGGATCAAGATCGGACCCGGGAGACGGCGGAAATCGAGCCTAGGATTATCGTGGTAAAACCACTGAAAAAAAGTTAAATTCAACCTGGTTTGTCAGTTCTCTGTTCGCGGAGCGAAAATATAGAGCAGTTCGGTTTTGAGTATCTGGTCAATTTTTTAAGCCGGTCTAAAATTCGCGTTGCCGTGTGAACGTCGGCTCACTCAGTCCGACCTGTGAACCTCCCTTGCTGCTCATACCTGCATGCAGAGGAGATCTGGGTCTGAATTTGCTTTCAGAACAAAATGGCGGCCAGTCTTTGACAATGTCTATGACATGATTTACGCGTTTGCACTCAGCATCCTTGCTCAAAGCTTGCCGATGACTTGATAACTGTTATAGCCAGCTTAGTGCTCATAAACACATAATGGCAAAAGAGAAGGAGGGTTTAGATGACGTGAGTTTTTGGACGACACCGGCTGATGATGGCTTCCGGTTCTCGAACCTAACATCAGATCATGTGTCTAAGCTTGCGGAGAGTGGTCCTTTTGTCGCAGTGGTGTTGTGCTACTGGGATAACGTTTTAGGACCTAGACTCCAGCATGTATGGAGAGGAGTCGGGGATGCCGAATTTCAGGTAAATGATCTCTCTAACTACAGGCAGTCCAGGCTCACAATAAAAATCCTCTAGGCCAAATTATAAGGATTTGTATGGGGATTTATGAACATGAGTTCGATAAAACGGTGAAAATGCACATTAACAGTCATTTAACTGTATTTATTTGTGTTGTCTATGTATGTATGTAGTTCACTTGCCTTTGTGTTGTTTTCTCACTGATCCCTGACCTATGAATACTATTTTAGCAAGTTTTGACATTCTGGTTTCTCACCAGGTGTGGGCCTGGTTGCCCTGTGCTTTAACCTTCTTGGAAGTTACTGGTACATTTTTAATATTAACGAATGTGCATAAAGATATTTTATTGTTCAAAAAGCAGACAAAAATTTTGAAATTTTGGGTACAAAATTTTGACTGTCTAAATCATAACATCTAGAAACTGTCAGAATATAGCTTTCAGACTTCTGAGGCCCATTTTGGAGGGTTACGTATATCCCTAGTCTAAATTACACACACAGCCGTTTTGCATTTTGAGGAGTAGGCCATTTCCCTGTCGGTATTATCCCATCTTTTTGTCATTTGTCGCCATTTTATCATGCTACTAAGGGCCTCAGGGTCTCGCTACTGACAGGGGGCATGTAGCTGAACCCTACCTTTAGCATGATGGCTGCTAATGGGAGTGTTAGGCAAGTAGGGGGGTTAGTGGGATGTTAGACCACCTCAGGGTTGGAGTTACAAGTTCAGTCATAGGCACTGGAGTACCGATCCATCACTTGTAGGTTTTTATAGTCATTCAAAATAAATAATTATTATCCCAAGTATCTTGTCTGTACTTTTTAAGACATTATAGTTCTTATGATTGATTTACACAGGAAGCAAGTGTCCGATATGTAGTGGGACGGACTCTCCATGGTGAACTTTTACGAGATACTCCTGAAAACCTCATCGACACCAAGTTATTTGTGCTGAAAGATCACAGTATTGTCTGCCATTCTTTCATTTTCTATGGACGTGACAAGTCTGGCACCAATATTTCTGGCCTGTCTCTCATAATTCCATTCTCAGAATTCAAAAGCTACTTGCCATATGTGGAATTGGTTGAAGAGCGAGTTAAAATTCTTATTGCTAAGCTCAGGGTTTTGCAAGCCAAGGTATCAGCATTCAGTGTTTAACATGTGTATGGTTATTTTAATTCAATGACTACATGTACATATGGTTTTTGCTTTAACAACAGAACATTACACTTTAATCATCCAGAAGATTTGCTGTTAGTAATGGTAACAGGACTGAGTGGAGTCCAATGAGTATGATTACAGACCGAATTGGACGACACAAAGTTCTCTATCACAATTTGTGATATAATAGGCTATTTTTTAAATCAAAACACAAGAAATTCGAAATTTTGTTTTGCAAGCAGTGAAAAAAAAAGCCATTTAGTGCACGCATGATGGCACGTACTGTCCTCATACTTTTGCTGATAACATCAAAAGGGTATAAACTCATTGAACTAAATACGGTTCATAACTATTATTTTCATTTCCAAAAAAAGACAGTTGAAAAGGCTGTGGAATATGTTGTTATTTTTGTTGTTGTTGTTGTTTTAATTTTTTTTTTCGTGATTTTTGTGTCATGTCTTTGTCCTCCATAAAAGTGTAGACCACCGGATTCCCAAAAGAAAAAAAGAAAAAAGAATGGGGACGGGGGGGTCTGAGGGGGCTGGAGGAAGAACTGAGTGTGCAAGGCCCCTAGTAGTTCAGATTAAAAATGGCTCTTCCAAGGAGAAAGGGGGTCATCAGTTTGAATTAAACTGAAGGCAAACTTGTTTGAAAAGCAACATTACTTTTCAATACTGTAGAATGCACACATCTTCAAGGTGACAAACAAAAATATTTTTATTTGTAGTTAAGTGAGACAGCCTTTGGTCCTGGACAATCAAACAAGTTTGAGGATCGCTTCTTAATGAGGTACATGTAATGCATTAATTACAGTTTCCTTTTATTATATAGACATAACCGTGAACATAATGTAAATGTGACGTCACCCTAATGATACAGCTGTATGTTACCTTTCTTCACATGAATGCGGGCTTTAGTTTTAGTTTTGGGAGCATTTGTCACTAGCATGCTTTAATTCCAATGAAATGGGTTTTAGCATCAGAGGTGAATCTAAGGGAAGGGCTCATGTAGTCCACCCTATTTTAGCCCAAAACTGAACCCTCACTCAAAGGTCTCAGGATCCATCACCAAAGTTCCTAGAGATGATTTTGTTTAGCCAAAGAGTGTAGACTTTCCAGATCATTGATCCTGTGTTGTAGTAAAATATGGGACCAATATTTTCTCTATTCATAAAATTGGACCAGGGCAGATTTATTTTGGGACTAGGGAGGGAAGGGTGCTAGGAAAGTAAAAAGGAAAACAGAAACTACGAGCCTTTCTCCTTGTGGATCCAAAATGACAGCAGAAATGACAAATAAGAATTTTTTCCCCTATTGGTTTCATGCCTCTATATTTTTTTCCTTTTCCAGAGTCATCACGTCGCATTTACAGACATTTGGAAGTACACTAGTTGTGGGAAAAGCACTGGACAAAGTCAACATGGTATATGATCTATGTCTTTTCATTAGGCACATACTTGGTGTAAATACCGAATTGAATATGTTCAATTAAGTTTAAAAGTTACCATCTGGCTCTCTTTATTTCTACAATTTTTTATTGTAACAAAGAAAAACTTCATGACCCCTTTTTTCATAAATTTTTCTAAATGTATTTGATCACATGTTTGCAAGTCAATTTTTGAAAAGGCAAGAACCTTGAGAATGTCCCTTAGTAGGCTGCAATCTCTTTTTATGCCCATTTAACATATTGAATTTTTGGCTAAGCTGGAAAGCATGTTAGTTTTCATACCAGAGTATCAGGAATTATTTTTAATACTCACGAGGGCTGAGTTGTTCAAAGCTAGGTTAAGATAACCCAGGGTTAGTGCGAAATTTGAATTCAGATTTGAAAGCTTAAAAAGAAAACAGAAACAGAAACTATTTAGTTATTTAGTTAAATTCATATTCATATTTAAATGCATATTTAGTTAAATTCTTTGTATCTACAATATGATGATTGGATGATCTTAAAAGAATAGACAAAATCATCAGAGAAAATGCTTAGTTCGAATAAAAGGAAAAGAAACCCGGATTAAAATCTAACCTCAGGTTAGCGCTAATCAGCCTTCGAACAACTGGGCCCCATATTAGAACAAGACATCAAAAACATTCTTGGATCATTTCTGGATTCCATCCACGTGCACCCTGTGGATTCCGGATAATTCTAATTACTGAATTTCAGATCGCTTGTCAGTGGTGGAGCTCGGATTCTGGATTCCAATTGTTAGTGGGATTCGAAACTTCTTGCGCTGAATTCCTAGAATTCTGGATTCCTCAAGCAAAAGTTTGCCAGATTCCAGAATCTCAATTATCTAGCAAGGGGCAAACTTCCCTTGCTTGATAAATATATGCATTGTATTACTAGAAAATGACTCTGATTGTATTTTTTTTTGTTACACTACAGATGGTCAACACCTTGGCATTACTGTTGTCCTCTGAGGAGCGACGAAGATCACGTTATGCCGTAGAGACTCTGTCTAATGACTCTGATTTGTACGATTCTGATCTGTTTGTTCAAGGCTTGCTTAAGGTGCTTACTAGAGCTAACTTTTGTTTATGAATCAATGGTTGCGGTTACACTAGAAGTTTTCCCAGAGCTTCCCATGGTGAAATGGCTTGAGTTGAGCTCACCCCTCTAGGGTTTGATCAACTTCCTGCTTGCGTTTACACGCTGATAGATTACCCCAGCGAAAGAGAAATAAACGTTGCCCCGATTTCGAAACTAAGCAAAATAAGCTGTTGAATTTTTTGACGTTTTAAAGGTTTACTAAAACAGTTTTGAGTGTTGAAAACTAAAACTGGTGTTATGGTCAGCGCCATTTTGCCAGCTTAAGACTGCTGAAACGCGAGGCGTTTTAGCAACTAGTTCTTGCCCATGTTTCTAATTCTTGTATGTTAAATGAAATCCCAGGAAATAAAACAAGACGGCGCCGAAGGCGTTTGACACGGTAGGCCTCAAGAGTGAACAGTTTTATCGCTTAAGAACGAATTATCCGGGTTCCTAATAGATTCTGCCTTTTTACATGGCGGGAAGTGGAATATCTAGGTAAGATGGCGTGAGACTGCATGGGACTGTTTGTATGCACGGGTTGCTGGATGCCGGGATTAATCATCAGGAGTAAGGTATTTGGCGAAACTTTGGGTCGGGACGACAGCATTAAAGAACCCTCCCTCATGAATACCCTCAAATTATGGGATCATGTCTCTTTGTACATTAGAGCACCAAGGATCCTTTCAGTCTTCCAGTTAAAGGAATCATCACCAGTAGCCTTCCTAGCACTCTGGTTGACCTGGATACGGGTGAAGTCAAACAGACGTGCCCCTTTAACGAACACGTGGTCATTAGAAAAGAGTTTATTGACATCGAGTTGGCGCTGCTGCTAGAGGAGGCGGAAGATGCTCCAGTATTCCCTGCACTGTAAGTACTTAATTTCTTCTTAATTTTCTTTCTAAAAAATTTCTTCTTGACACCCTGCGAACAGAGCTTCCTTTTTTCGTCTTCTTGATCAATCGAGGCAGAGAAAAAGAGGCTTTGCCCGAATCTCGTCAAACCTTTGAAGTCGCCAAATTTAGTCAATCCTGTTTTTCCTGAAACTTGTTTTTCGAGTGCGAGCCTCCGTTTATTGATACTGACGATCATAACTGATGTTTTAACTGGCGTAAGTGAAACTGAGTATTTTTCTTTATTCAAGGGGTTTATTTCACAACTCAGAAGAAGCTGGTATGCTGGTACAAGCGTTCTTGCATGATGTAAGTAACAATTACGCAAAACCAGGAACCAAATAAAAACGGCGCGCCTGTCTCCCTCTCCTCGTGCCGTGTCCGATGGATAGCTTTATCCAATGTTTGAACAACCCAGGCATGGTCTATATGCCGGATAGGTATAAGCAACAGAAATGAATCAGTGATGACGCAATTTTTTTTTTCCTTCTCTCTCGCGATCGACCTTCCAAAAGACTACGCCGTTGTTTATGATTACCAAGGGTCTTGCTCGTTTAAAGACTTGAAAGCTGGCAGCCTGCTCGGGTGGCGTTTTTGTTTGGCCAGCGCGGAAATGACTGGAAAAGCCAGGAAAACGCGTGTTTCTCCCTGTCTTTTTCGCCCCTTTCTACTAGCGGCTTATTTACGCGCTTCGCAGACAAGCTATGAAGCTGGAAGCAAAGCTGAACCTAGCTGGCCTTTCAGATCATAATGATTTACAATTAGTGGTAGCATACTACAAGCTTTAATTATACACCAAACCCTTGATACCCATACTACCATAAATGATATCTATTATCACAAACCCTAAGTTATTCAGTAGTTGATCCACTGTTTGATAATTACATTTGTATATCTGTTCACTTCACAGCTCAATCTCCTTCCTTACGTTTGCGGTGTCCGCGAGGGATTCATCGATAATTTCCTGCGTCTCCTTGACAGAAAAGCTCTGGCACTCATCAAATACGTGGAAGCTAAAACGTATGTATAATATGCCCCATGATATCAGGGCAGTTTTATTGTAAGTCTGCTAAAGGTTCTCTAATTAACTGGAACCCAACCCCTTCCCCCAACACGTTCAGTCGCACCTGCACATGTAAATTCAACTCAGAGAATGAATTTAAATGAATATGATTTCAATGTGAAATGTAACCCCAAGTTCTGTAGCGTTAACAATCCTTTCAAGTTTACCTGTTTGCAACG